GGCCTACTGTCACGAGCGTGGCATTATTCACCGTGATCTCAAGCCATCCAACCTGCTGATCAGCCCGCAGGGTCAGCTCAAAATTGCGGATTTTGGTCTGGCTCGGATCTGGCACCAAGACCGCCAGGACGGTCGTCAATACAGCCACCAAGTGGCAACGCGTTGGTACCGTGCCCCAGAACTCTTGTTTGGCGCCCGCCACTATGACCTCGGCGTCGACCTTTGGGCCGTCGGCTGCATTTTTGCTGAAATGATCAATAGCGCGCCACTGTTCCCGGGCGAGAACGACATCGATCAGCTGTCCTGTGTGCTACATACCCTGGGCACGCCAACGCCCGAAAATTGGCCTGAAGCTTCTACCTTCCCAGACTATGGTAAGATCACCTTCGATGAGACCCCTGGTGTACCCCCAGAGGATTTGGTGCGCAACACGTCGCCGGAGGGCCGCACTCTCTTTGCCAGCTTTGTGCCTTACTCGGCCAAGCGCCGACAAAGTGCGCGGAGCGCCTTGCGATCGTTGTACTTTTTCGAGGAGCCGCTGCCTCTTCACCATTCTCAACTCCCCAGCCCTCTCCAACGCGAGGTCGGTGGACAGATAAATGACCCTGCTGCTTCCCATGCATGGGGTGCTGCGTACGAGCCTCACTGAGGAATCATATGACTGTTACTGCTCTCTTCCTTGACAGAAAATCCTGGCGCCGCGGCTCAACTACCATACCAATCTCGATGATATGACTTTTTTACGACCCGGTGAAATCTAAGGCTCGCTTGGATTTCGTAGCGGTAGGTCGTCGCAGAAAATCGGTGGTCAATTAGAGATCAGGACTCACAAGGGGCCTAGCTTGCCGTCTGTGACGGTCGGGGGCGTCCAACCTTGGCACGCTCTCAAAGGCGTGACTCAAGCTGCTTCAATAACATTGAGCAAATGCCCCCCGCCCCCTTCAACTGTTTGCTTGAGTTCGCTGAGCGAAATTGAGATCAACCTCAAAAATCGCCTGATAGGCCGCATTCAAGGCAAGCGCAGCTTGCTGCCGACTGACAAACGTAGGAAACATGAGCTCCATGCTGGCATCCACCTCCTATCCCAAAAACACACACGCACACACACACACACACGCACACACACACGCACCATGAGCACATGAGCTGGAGCAGGCTCTCAATCACCTGAGAGCAAAGGGAAGGCGCGGGGGGGCTTCATGTCAAACCTCAAGGTCGTTGACGTTGTCCACGTGCTCGCAGTAGAGCAGCAGCCGGTGAGAGCCCTCAAGCACGACCAGTTCTAAATCCTCGACGGCCACTGAACTCAGTGTACTGTAGCCAGAGTGAAGAGACGAACATTAGACTCGTCGAGTCGCGCTGCCTGATGCTGAATGCCATCCAACACCAGGCGCACAAGGCATGGATAAAGGAGAGTCTTGGAAGCAGGGGGTCAGCTACTGACTGGAAAAGCATTTCCGACATGTTACAGCGCGCGACCACGATGCGCTGCTCCGTAATAAGCAGGAGCACACCAAGCCACTCTTGGTTATCACGTGCTTGTGGCACAGAACCCACTCCATTATCGATGGAAATTGCATCCTGCAAGCAGAGTGCACGCATCCAGCGCATTGCCTCGGTTTTGGAACCAGGGTCCTACCCTCACAGCAGATTAGTGAGGCGCACACTCTTCAGAAAGAATTTCGAGGCCGATGAAAAGGGATGGCAGACAACTCGACGTACGATGAAAAGTGTGTCATTGCCGTCCGCCTCGGCTGAACAACGAATGGCATAAGGGTGCTCACGATCCGGTGCTGAGACGGGTCACGCAAGGGGTGCGTGAGGCAACGGCATTACCAGGCTGCCCAGCGCCAACACCCAGACACGAGTCGATTGCTACAAACCCGGAGCGCAGTTGAAGGCAGGAGAGCGCAAGTCAAACTTGTTTTTAATGCTCTGATCCGACTGAAACCCCATTCCATCGTCACAATGGAGAGCATACAATACCATTGGAAAGAAATGGCGACGGTCAGTGACACCTTGACATCAACAGCACGAGGTTCTAACCAAGCTCTCAACAAGCATGTACCTTGAACGACATTTGTTCCAACGCGTCACCCCTACACATTCACAAGACAACAAATGAGGCACCTGCCAACAGACTTGCATCGACTGCCTCCTGCTACCTGCTGATGACCGGTCCATCCCCCCAGAAACACCAACCGAAGCGCCAACAGGTAAGGCTTCCACTCAGTCGTGATCAGGTTCTCCCGCTTGCATACGATGCGGCCCTGCAAGACAACTGAGCCCACCCGACAGGCCATTAGCATTTGCATCGACACATCCAACACAAGCCACAGCATCGCGCTCTCGCCTCCGGCGTTGTGCTCACTTTCGCTGGCTTTGAGCATGCCACAAGCACGAGCAGGCATGGCATAGTAGGCTAACGCTTGATGTTTGCAAGTTCCAAACTAAACGCGCAAGCTCAAATGAGATGATCAAAGCGCACACCAGGAAATGGTACGACAGATATGGAGAGGGGAGGAAAAGGAGGTGCTTCACACTCGCACTGACATCATTTTCATCCGCAAAAGCATGTATCGCTGCCCGCCTGACGGCATCTGATTGTGTTACATTGGCCTCCAGCACATTGCTCTGTTCGCACGCGCGCATGATGGCTTGGATGATGGCTTGGGTGCATTGCTGGAAGGGGCAAGAGATGAATCAAGTGAGTCGATGCGAAAGGCCGCGGCCCTTGTGTCGCAAGCAGATGGCTTCACCTTATCGCCAGTAAAGGCCGCAAAGCGTCGTATCTGCCGGTTGGAGTACTGGTAATGCAACTCCAGGCCCAAGCCGTTGAGACAGACATCAATCAGCTAGGAAAAGACGCCAGACAACTGATGAGTCGTGCCATGTGACAGGGCCTTGCAAGCAGTCCGCGCAACAACCGTACCCGAAGCAGATCCAAGGCAATCTCCAGCTCAAACACGGTCTGCGTAGTCATGACGCCTACGACCATCCATTGCGTGAGCACGAAAGCATGAAGTGCAATGCCGAGACGCCGTTTGTGTGCGCCTTGACGTGCCAAAGAGTCCAGGATAGGGATAAAACACATACTTTTTCGTGCCACGAAAACCTTGTGGGGCGTGATGATGAGTCGGGCGTGTCGCTCGCGTGGTCCATCATAGGTGCGCACGTGAAAGATATCAATAATGTCGTTGTCCGGTGGGTGCAGCAGTTCGAGCATAAGGGAGGCATAGAAGCTCTGATCGTCCGATTCCGCCACCGAATTAACCGCATGCGTGCCAGCCAAGGAGCCTTGCAGCGCTTCAATGCTCAGGAGCGGCAAGCTATTGGTAGAGTCGGACGCCGTCGCAGTTGCTTGTACCGCTGGCGACGGCGAGGGCGAGGGCAAGGGCGAGGTATCACCCGTCGCACTCAGTTCCTCAGTGTCAGTTGTGTTGGCTTGGGCGTCGGCCTCCAAAGGCAAGGCTCCAGTCGCGTTTTCGGACACCTCGGGGCTGATGGGCATCTCTGCAAAAGTTGACGACTCGATCTTGCGGACTGGGGACGCAAGCATGGCCTCGATCTTTTGCTCAAAGGCGTCTGGCTTGTCGTCATTGCTGTCATGCTGGGCCGTACCCATGGCTGCAGGAGCTGCCTCTCGTCGCAACTCGTACTCTGCCGCCCGTCGGTCGACCCAGCTCTCCCCATCTTCGACCAGATCTGAGGGTTGTTCAGCAATGGAGCTAGCAACGGTGTTTGGTATGGTAGGTGCACTGGCCGCTGTCACTGCATCGCTCACAAGCGCACTTTCGTTGCTAGTGGGCGCCACCGTGTGTGCAGTGTCCTCGGCGCGAGCATGACGAGCTGTGAGCGTGTCGGGCCTGAGGCTGGTTCTGTCGTCATCAGCCACATTTGGCTCGCTATGCACTTCCTCTTCAGCCAATTCAGAGGCAATTGGGGCTGGCGGCGATGGCCGTGGTTGAGCGCCTTTGGGCCCAGTATCTTCCAGAGCGGAGGTGGAAATAAGAGGCCCGGTGGTCATAGTTGTGGGTGGAGTAATAGCCCGCTGCAAATTGTGTGGCTGCGATTGGTCGGGTTCAGTTGCTTCCAGGGTGGCTGGTAAAGACGTGACCTCAGAAACGACACCGCTCGCTCCCACGGTGGCAAGTGGCGTTGCTAGGCTCCGGGCGGGGCTGGGAGGCTCGATGGGATCGGGTGAGGGTACGGCTTCAGACGAAGCCTGGGCAGGCCTGTCACCCACTTGCGTGTCGGCGGGTAGATCACGAGTTTTCTTCTTCTTCTTTTTCTTGATCTTTCGTGCCTCCACCACGGGTACACTCTGCA